AATCTTTTTTAAATATTTAACATTGATAGTTATCATTACTAGAAATACAAACATATATACATTTGTTTCATGTAGTTTTGTAACATTTATTTAACTAAAACTTTATAATTATGAACAAATACACAAATAGGAAACTTATAATTTATATTTATAATTTGAGATGGACACAAACTGAGGGCTCACAATTAGAGACTAGCACACAAACTAGAGGCACATAATTTGGAATAGGCACACAAATTGGGAGCACACAATTTGGCGCTGGCACACAAACTGGGGGNACAGAAAAATGTTCAATGCCTATCGAAAGGGCACATAAATAGGGACAAAAAGTCTTCTTTAATTTTAATTAAAATTAATTAAATATATTAATATTTTGGGCTAATACACATCTTATTGTCAAAAGAAGAGTTTAAAGAATCGATATAAATTTTGAGCAAGCTCATTTGAAGTCAGTTAATTGAGTATTTATTCAAAAAAGAGAGCACGCTTGCTTAACAGCACACTAATAGGGACAGTTACCCTAAGTTATTCCAAGAGGGCCGAGAAAATGTTAACGATGAACCTCGCTCTGGACGCCCCAGCACGTCAAAAATCGACGAAAATGTTCAGAAAGTGAAAGAAATTGTGTTGAAAAATCGTCGAATCACGATTAGAGAAGTAGCTGATGATCTTAACATATCGTTTGGCTCATGCCAATCAATTTTAACGGATGTTTTGGATATGACACGTGTGTCAGCGAAACTCGTTCCAAAACTGCTTAATTTTGATCAGAAGCAGCATCGCATGAACATCGCCCAAGACATGTTGAACGACGTCAATGATGATCCTAATCTGCTCAAAAGAGTTATAACTGGTGACGAATCATGGATATATGGTTATGACGTCGAAACCAAAGCCCAATCATCCCAATGGAAGAGCCCAGGAGAGCCAAGACCGAAAAAGGCACGCCAAGTTCGTTCGAATGTGAAGATTTTGCTCACAGTGTTCTTTGATTACCATAGCGTTGTGCATCAAGAATTCCTACCACAAGGTCGTACGGTAAACAAGGAGTATTACCTTGAGGTTATGCGGCGTTTGCGTGAATCAATAAGAAAAAAACGGCCGGAAGTGTGGAAAGAAAATTCATGGATTTTGCACCATGATAATGCACCTGCGCACACGTCGTTACTAGCGAGTAGTTTTTTGGCCACAAACAATACTACCATCATGCCTCAGCCACCGTATTCACCAGACTTGGCCCCCTGCGACTTTTTCATCTTCCCAAAATTGAAAAGGCCCATGAAAGGACGAAGATTTGCGACGATTGAGGAGATTAAGGCAATTTAAAATAAAATAAAATATTAACATTAACTGCATCGCTGGAGGAGCTCAAGGCAATACCCAAAAGTGCATTTCAGAAGTGTTTTGACGACTGGAAAAAGCGCTGGCACAAGTGCATTGTATCAGAGGGGGATTATTTTGAAGGGGATAACATAATTTTTGATAAATAAATGAATATTTTTTTATAAAAATGAAAAGTCACCTTTTTTTTTTATCACACCTCGTATAGTAGCAAAAGGAGTTCTAGACAATTTGAGTCACGTGACGCTTTGCTGCCGCAGCATGCTGCATATATGAAAAGGTACCTTAAGAGTTTGACTTATCGATCTCTCGTATGGGAAATTGCTTCCGTCGGGAGTGAGAAAATGTTAGTACTCGCGAGAAATAGAACAGATTCTGTTCACTATCTGTTTAATCATCGTCTGATTGCAGTGCACAAATCTTTTGTTTATTATCTATTTGTATTCAAGTTTGTCAGCAAAGTTTGTTTGGTGTTTGACATTAAACTAATGTAATATTATGCGAACAAAGTCTATTATTTGTACTGTTAATATATTAATCCCTTGCAGACAGACTCCAACAACGACTCATTAGTTGGACAGACTGGATATGTAAAACTCACGCGACTTTAAAATTAAATATCTCCGTGAAAAATTAAGGTTTTTTTTTAAATTTTGTTTTTTTGAATCAAAAGTTTGAACAATTCTGCGTTGATAAAAAACCAAAATAAAAAAATCTCTAATAGTTTTTGAAGATATAAGCGTTTTAAAAAAACTAATTTTTACTAAAGACACTGGTTCGAAAAAAAATTTTACTTTGCAGCGTCAAACGTTTCTTGAAAAGTATCGAAGATATTTGTTTTCTCAGTGTTTACTTGTTTTATAATTAAATTAAATTTTAAATTATTTTAAATAATCAATCAGTTAATCTTACACGTAGTTAAGAGTAATTATTGTATATAAAAATTTACCCGCCACCGATGGTAATCATTTTTGAATCCGCAGCCATAAATAATTCAGCTGAATGATGTACTTTGGAGTCGTTGTGTGATGAATCCATGCCTACCCAAGGATATTTGGCTCGTTCTGGATATAAACTGAACAAAAATGTTTCACCAGTACCAAAATATGCTTGTCTTTGTCCTTTGTCATCCTTTAAATTACGTTCACACCATCTCGTAGAACAGTAAGCCCCAAATACCTATGATATGAAAATCACATACAAAATTATAAAGTTTCCACTTTTTATATCTTATCTAAAATAGAGAAAGTTAAACACAACTTGTTTATCTTATTTATAAAAATAAAATTTATTACATGTATACAAATAAATAAAATGCTAATTACAAAAATTAATTATGCTTACCTCATTGTTACATGTTTTTATCATTAAAAGAGTCGGCTCATGTTGTTCAACACGCACGTAGAATGTAGTTAAAGAGCATCCATGTTCTTCAGTCGTATATAATAAAATAGGCTGGTACATCGTGATTCTCATTGGCAGCCACGACCATAAAGTAAACAACTGCCAAATAAATTTCAAAGGGATTAGTAAGACATAAAAAGTGTAAAATTGTTTTATACTTGTGTGTGTGCAATCATTAGTTTCTAATATTACTAATAATTTAAAAAAAAACTCAAAATAAAAAATCATAATAAAACACATGCGATATATTGGCAAATCAAATTAAAATGATCAATTAATTTATGGAAAAATACAGTAAATGACAGTGATTAAAACTTATAGTTTTTAAACAAAATTTTCATTGTTTGTTTAATACATTTCTGATATTTAAAATAAAGTATAGTTTACAAAATCTCTACAATTTTTTGTGATTTGTATAGAACTGTTTTCTTCCATAGAAAGGTGAGAAAAAGAGCAAAGCTCTCAAGCTTTAACTGCTGTACATTTATATTTTAAATTGTATAATCATGAAAAATAATAACAATAAACAATTAAAAAAAATGTTTTTTTATAAGGAAAAAAGATGCTGTTAAATTGCCAATTTTTCTGCAAATATTATTAAATATAGAGAAACATTTTTCCATACATTTTTATAAGAATAAATTGATCTCATAAGTTTTTATATACATATTTATTACTTTACTATATCTTGATTTACTTACAAATTTGCTAAATGTGAGAGTAAATATAGATGTATACAAATTTTTTCTTTGTATACTAATTTGTAATTATACGTATATTAATGCGTTTATATTATATGTTTATATTAACTTTACATTCTAGACTGTTACTTATATAAAATTATTGTATAATTTTTTGTTTTTTTTATACACATATCTATTTTTATAGAAAAATACGCAAAATAATAAACAAAATAACTCAATTGTATAATTATAATAGGGCAAACATATTTTTTTGCAAACAAATTTTACTTTTTATTAATAAAAACAAAAATATGTTTTGTCTGACGTAAAATACTAGTTATTTAAATATAAAAATACAACGATGAAGATCATAAATATTTGTATTTTATGCAAATCAGTGCATATCACTTTTCATGCAACAATCAAGACAGCATCACTCTGTTAGAGATAAAAATACAGATATTAAACACATTCGCAGCCGCTGACGTACATATTTTTATATTATTTTAAAATCTAGCTGATTGTAGTTGATAGTTTTACGTCATTTTAAAATAATTTTTAAAATGGTTTTTCTGGTTGTTCTGTGACAATAAGTTATAAATTTTTATAAATTATACGCAACTTCTAGGTAAAGGTTTCACGCCAGAATCACCGGATGCGAAAATGTTAACAAAATATTAACATGGATTCTTGCGCTAGCGATGATAAGAATGTAGTTGTTTGCATACATTTTACATTTCTATTAAAGTTTTTTATTTCACTATCTTCTTCTAATATAAATAGATAGACATGTTAAACAAGATTTTTCTTCTTTATCTTGAAAGTAGAATCCAGCTATTAAATATTTTTTGTTAAATATATTTAACAAATATTACAAACATATTTCACGACTATTATATTGTGTTTGAAATTATGAACTGTTTTACGTTTTATTCTGTATTAGCTATCGATAAGAGAGAGATTTTCTTTACAGAAATTTGATATTAATAGCGATTTCGGCTGGTTTGCACCGACTGCACATTTCGGGTGTCGGTGCAAATTGTGTGTTCGGCTGGTCGAATGGCAGCAGTTCTTTGCTGGTTCCGCGTATTCGTCTGAGCTCAGTACACCGCATAGGTGCATGTTGGGTGTACACAAAGTGGCTCTCACAAATTAGTCGGAGCCAGTTAGTGTAATCAGTACACACACCGATGCGGTGTTGCACACAATTGCACCAACTCTACACAGGTGGCACACCGGTGCAGACCAGCCGAAATCGCTATAAAAGTATTTCAGTGATTATTTCGTAGTGTCAAAATAATTACTAAAAATAATTACAAAATAATTATTAAAATTAACTGATTACATTCTGAAATTAAAGTTGTTTGTATTAATACTTATTTTTTAAATTGATAAACCATTATTCTCACAAAGAAATTTATTCCGCTATAAAAAAAAGTCCTAATAATTCACTGTTTTTCTTTTTAGAAAATCCCTAAATTTGAACCGTGGTTTTTCAAGATTGCTAGTTAGAGTTCTAATTCACATTGTAAGTTACAAGTGTGCATGTTGCTAGAAATCTCTTTGTAAGTGTACTTCAAACAAATTTTTCTTTTCGCCAGATTTATATTATCTTTTAATCTTTTCAAAATCACATTTAATATTAAAACATATGTTTTGTATTTTATATAACATTACAAACGGTTTTGTCTTTTCCTTATTTTCTCTAATTTAAATTACCAAATTAATAAATTATTGATTATGCATTAGTATTTAAATATATTTATATTTTTTAATTAAATAAGATCATTAGATAATATTTAGTCACTGCAACTTGAAATACAAAACTATTTGTAATTACTATAAGCTTTGCAATGAAATTACTAGAAATTACTGAAGGAGAGTTGCCGCGTTTCAGTCATCTACATCGTACCTCTTTAGTTTTTCCTTATTATTGAATATAATACATACGTAAAAAATGGAATTGGTTCAATTAAAGTCGACGTCACGGACTGTCACAAAAAAGAATAGTTTATTTCATTGCAAATGCAATTAATTTAATATCTAAATTCTAAATCACCTATCTGTACGTAGTGCAGTAATATTGATATTGCATCAACAAGATTTTTTAATTAAATTGATGCTGATTAAATTAATTCAACATCATTTTTTTCCGTTTATTTCTATAAATATGTATATTCAACGTTGCATACTACAAATATGTAAAAACTCAGATATTATTGATACTAGTTTTGAATGTATTTATCTAAGATGATTTTGATATGAGTACAGATATTTTGTGAAAGTAATAAAGAGGAAACATAGACGAACAATTTTTGTCAGCAAATATAAACCCTTTTCCTGATAGGAAAACATTTACCAAATTATGTGACAAAATCTTGCACTAAAATTGTAATTTGCAATCATACAGACATATTTTAGAAAATAAATATAAAAACATGAATCTTTTATCAAATATTTGTCACTGTTTCCAACATTACTTTTCAAATACTATTTCGGCAAACAAATAACGATATGGCGATACATCGTAGCAGTATATTTGCAAAATTACTTTCACAAAGAAATTGTCCAATAATTGAGAAAAGAAATTCTATGTGATGTTTAAAATATGTAGAAATATAATTGCATATGAAGACATACAAGAAATCGTCGTCACTCATGATGTCATATTTGTGCAATATTTTCACAATTTGCATATTGGAGGTATATATTGTGGAAACGCATAACGACTTTTTCGCAATTTTTGACAAATATTATTTACAACATTTTATTGTGACAAAACTGTTGCATTATGGCGAATCATCTTATTGTTAGTGCAATTATTGCAAAATCGTCGCCATTCATGATGCCATTTTGTGCAATATTTTCACAAATGTACGTATTAGGGGAGATTTCAACAAATATATTCCCAGCAAACAATTTGGTTGCGAGATGTCGCGATTTTGTCGCCAACTGCCGGCGAAATTTGTAGACCAAATCTATATCTATCTGTCTTCTCATTAGGATATGGTTTGGCGACCATATCTGTCAAACATGTGAGATGTCAAAATGAAATCAAAATCATAACAAGTCTGCCACTAGCAAAGCAAAGCCAAAGTGACGCACCAAATCCAGAACAGATTTGGTGATCGTTTGTTGGCGCTAAAATCATGCCAAATACACATCATATCTGTTACCAAAACTGTCAACAAGACAGTAGCAAATACAGACTAAATCTGCCGTTAGAAGCGCCAACAGATTGTTACCAAACACAGATCAGATCTGTCCCCTAGAATCCAAGTAGAATTACTACAAAAAAAAAAGAAAATCAGTGATATATCGCCTTATCGGAAGAGAATTAATTCGAGATTTTACTCGAATTAATTTCTAGAAACCTGATTCAGCTCGTTGATCAAACCGATAAACTCCAATGAAAGAGACCGAATCTGAAAAAAATCCTAAATGTGATAGCGGGATTTGAACTCGAGACCTCCATATTCGCAGCCCCTGCACTCATTCCGCGAGACCACTTGTGTTCCTTACTAACATATAATTATTTTTATCTATTTATTCTCAAGCTATCCTACATTTCATTTATTATTTATTTCAATTATTATTTTACTAAAAATGTTGCAATGCAATGTACCTGCAACAATAAATAAAAATACTTTTCTTATTATTCTTAAATATAATTTAAAATACATTTTTATAACGCGAACAAATGTTTTGTTAATATATGTTGATACTTGAATAAACAAAGTGTTTTTTAATGGATGTTTGGTCACTGAAAATGAATCCGGCGGCGAAATCGACCTAACACGTCAAATTTCTGAGAAACTTAAAGTTACATGTATAACATACTGTCTATTAGCGTGAGAAAGAGCATATCAGTGTATCTCATTCACACTAGTGGACATTGTGTTACACAGCGTCGACCGTACGTAGCTGGAAAGCACCTATTGTTTCATATTACTCAACAAATACGAGAATAATACATTAAA